GTGTGGGGACCTTTAAGCATGCTATTTACAGGATTTGTGTTTTCTTTTTAAAAGTCTGCCCTTGAAACCACATTAAAGATCATCGTTGAATAGTATTTTTATTTTAAAAATTTGCACCGGTACCTGGTCCCCTATGGCAGTGCCCAGCTACTCATGTATTTTTTTTTAACTAAAGCCTGCAAATTGGCCTTGGGATAGGCCAGAAAATCAGATCATGTCCTCCTCTTCAGTCTCTCCTTACATAAATACAGCATGAAATAAAAGTCTGGCAATTATTTTTTATTATGTCAGGTTAACCCTTTAGCTTGATATCATGTAGAAATATTTTGTCACTTTAGTAAAATTATCTTGGTGTGCATATAGTATAGCAATATATATCCATTTTAAACCTTGGTTATAAGGGGCGGGCTTCCGATGACCGCAATGCTGAATGGGCAGTGTGCGCTTGCGCACACCGCCCGTACGGCATTTATCTTACGAACATGCCACACAATCGTATGGTTCTCGGCGGGTTTTCGAACATGTTCCTAAGATAAAAGTCGTGCGACCTTACAGTAGCAGAGGTTGCACGCCTTCCACACACCTTGCGATAATCGTACGATCGCGGGATTTCCCGTGATTATCGTACGATTATCGCAAGGTGTGTGGGCACCTTTAGTCCCTGTTCACACCTAAGTGTTTTGTCTCCCAAAGTGCAACAAAATGCTTGAGACAAGGACACTCCAGTCTTAAGCACAGCAAAACACTAAAAACAAGGAATCCCATTTATTTCCATGGCCCCTGTTCACACCTGAGTGTTTTGTCACAAGAAGAAAAATGCCCATCCCTGGAAAAAGTACTAAGCTGCTTTTTGGCAGATTAAGGTGCTTTTTGGTTCCCATAGACTTCAATAGGGAATGTCAGGAAATGTATCTGTGTAGAGTGTTTCCACAGTAATGTATACTAAAGAACTAGAAAATAATTGTTGACCTCCTTATGTAAAATGTGACTTGCTTTATTGCCATGCTCTTTTATTAGATTCAAAAAGTACTAGATCAGACCAAGTATCTAGCCAGTAAAATCAGAATAAAGTCAGATCTCCTGATATGCATACATTGGTCAATGACTCAGAAAGTATTAAAAGCGTTGGGTCAGCCTGGCAGCCAGTCTTCTGGCATTTGCAGCATTTTCAAAAAGAGAAGTCAGCAGCCTTCAGGTTTTTCTCAGAAAACATATACAAGAAGAAATTTGCTTCCTAGTCATACCTTTTATGTACAAGGTATTGACTGTTGGACAGTGAACAGATGCCTACTGTTTGCACTAAAAGTTGTAATTGTATGACAAATTGTTTAAAGTCATCAAACTAGTTCACCAACTTGAATGTGGCAGATGCTACAAGTACTGTATTAATGACATGTTGTGATACAGCACAGATGTTTACGCATATCCATTACCATATTTTCCAATGTTACTAGGTCCATTACGAAATAGTTGTAACTATTTATTGCTTTTCAGTGTCATAAAGTATGCATATAAACAAATAATACCATAGATTAATTACTTGTTTCAAGATTTATGCAGTGTTTAAGGTCAATTTGGAAATAATTATGTTTATATAATGTAATTAATAATATGTATAGCTACAATTATCCTCTATCTTATTCATGCTCTGATTGACAATCAGTGCCAGACAATAGCTGTTCGGTCATGCAGTTATTATTTTATTTATTAGCAGCATTGTTAAGAGTAACATAGAGTTTAAATACTTTTACCTTAAAGGGTCTGTTCTTCCAAACTTTTTATTTTTTTTCTTATACTTCATCGGGATTCTATAAGTGAGATTTCTGACCTTGAGTTTTTGGGTCTGTACACCTGCTGTAGCTAAAAGAATGGGTTCCACCTCTCCCCATTGCATGTGTATTTATTTGATATCATGAGGAATTTTCAGGAGGTGCAGGAACATTCAAAACTCCCAGATGGAGAGGAACTCAGGAGTCAGAATTAGTGGCAGACAGACTTTATCGTTAGAGTATCCAGGACATAGCATAAACCCAGGGGTACATTCAGAGGCTGCAAGAAACCATGAAGGGCCCCTCCAACCCCCCGCCGCCATGGAACTGTGTGGTTAATACGATGGCTGCCGAGGTCCCCAGCAACTGCGGGACCTCAGGCAGCGGCTTCAGTTTAAACATTTGGGGGGTGATTTACTAACCTAAACACATGCACGCACCAGGTGCGTGTGCATTTTTACACAGCAAAATGTATTTATCAACCAAACACGAGCAACGTGTCACATTTTCACGCCGTTATGGCGCGTTTCTATGTATTTACGTACGTGCACGTCATGTAGCATGTGCCATAGGCTACATGCCGCTCTAATAGCGACATGCAAGTCTCTAAAAGCATATTTCCACTAATGCCATATATGGAAAAATCATGCACATGATGCATATATAATGCTGCTTCACCTCTATGCCTACAACCATCCCAAAAAACACTTTGAAAATGCTAAAAACAGTATTCAAAAATATGGAACTTACACACAACTGACATGTTCAGCTCTGTATGAGCCAACTGCACATGTGTGGAGCCAAGTTCACACGCTTCTTAAGCCCAGAAACATGAGCACGCCGGTTCTTCACGATTTCTTGGTAAATTGAATAGCAGCGTGTTCGCGCGCGACTATTATTCCAACCATTCTGTACTGTCCAGAGGTGTTTGTTTTTGGAAGCTTATTTCCTCTTGGCCGTTTTTAAGTGTTCCTCATTCCACTTATGGAGAGACTTTTATAATTTTTTTGCACTACCTAAATAATGTCCCAAAAACATGAGTGCATCACAGTTTAGACAAAAATGGTTAGCTCGTGCATTTACATTCCTGCATTCATCAACGCAAGCAACACAACGTAGAGCTAATTTACACAACATCACCTTGCAATTCATGCAGGGCTTTGCACAACACACCTGCTGGGTGTGTACACACTACAAAGGTGTCTAGATTCCACCAATAGATCATGCTGGGAGGGAACACACTACAGAGGTGTATACTTGTTCGTGGCGTGTTTATAAGGTTAGTAAATCAACCCCTTAGTGTCGGTGTTCTGTCGAGAACGCCGACCCAGTATCTGCGTTTGTGCACAGATGGGATTAACGAGGTACCGGCATTTATTTACAAAGTATTCGTTTGTAATGGTTAATTGTGACCGTTAATAATATGCCACCAATGGCAGTAAATGATGGATGGCAGTAAATGATGGATGGGATATTATTAACTAGGGATGTCCCGATGCCACTTTTTTAAGTACAAGTACAAGTACTGGCCCTCATGTACTTGCCGATACCAATTACCGATAATTTTTCTATGGGGCCCTGTGATTTCTAGTTACGCCCCTGATAACATGATTAGGTTAATCATGATCCATAGTACAGTACAGTCCATAGTACAGTACTATCTGATTGGACAACACATTTTATAGGAGACATACTCCGCGCTGGCGGATCGGAGCGGGGAGGGGGGAATCCATCCCCTCCCCTGTCACGGCAGAGAGCCGTGACAGGATCGAGAAGTGAGCGAACACCGGCATGTGTTCGCTCACCTCCCGATCTACTGAGCCGACCTGTGACAGTCTCATTGTCACAGGTCGGCTAGAACTATGAGGTGAGTGAAAAGCACTCACCTCATAGTTCTCCTTTAAGTGTATTCTATTAACAAGCTTTCCTAGTTCAGACAGTATTTGTAAAAGTTTGACAGAGGTGCTATCTGCCAAGTATAGTAATTCATGATGTGGGTATGAAATGCATACATAGTATATGGCAATAAAACTTTAAAATTTTAAACTAATACTCTATATGAAGTACACACTATAGTACACACACTATTAGTTTAAATCATGATCTATAGTACAACTACATATTATGTATGTACTATAGATCATGATTTAAACTAATAGTGTGTGTACTATAGTGTATACTTCATATAGAGTATTAGTTTAAAATCATGATCCATATATTGGAATCGGATGGTTCATGTTACTAACATGATTTGAACACAGGCCCTTACTTGATGGTGCCTGTGCAATGGAGGTGCCTCACGAGCTGCCGATTTCCTCTTCCTCTTTCCTCCCATGTGAGGACGACGTCGGCGGCGCTGAGCAGCAGAGCGGAGGAGCGTCGCGTCACTGCTGTGGGCGGAGCTCCAGGTCGCCGGCCAACTACATTAGACCCCACCTGGAGCTCCGCCCACAGCAGTGACGCGACGCTCCTCCAGCCTTCCCAGAGGACCCCAGCCACCACGGCACGGAAGGTAAGAAAAAAAAAACAGCGCAAGCTTCGGCGCTATGCATCGGGGCATTTTGACAAGTACAAGTACTTGTCAAAATGCCCGGTATCGGAACATCCCTATTATTAACGGTCACAATTAACAATTTAAACAAAATGCTTTGTAATTAAATGCTGGTTCCCTCAATAATACTGGTCTGTGCGCAAGTGCAGATGCAAAGTCGGCAAATTGGACTACCTCGGCGTTCTTGACAGAACACCGGTATCTGCGTTTAGTATCGGGGCATTTTCACGAGTACTCGTGAAAATACCCAGTATTGTCACTGGTGCATCCCTAGTTAAAAATATAATGCAATGTTGGGACTTGAATAGCGACATTGAATAGCGATGGGAGACCCTCTGCATCATTTACTTCCTATGTGGACTATGGGGAATGACCACTGTGAGTTGTGGTTAACAGCACCCAACTCTATACCACTCAGATGGCAGGATGTACCTAATGAGGTACTAGTAGGGAGAATAGCAGTAGTTAATTAAGCAGCAAGTTAAGCAGTAATGTGCAAGCAGTAACAAGCAATGTTGATGTAACCATATACAGTCCTCTCAAGCAGGTATGATCCTGAGACGATACTCTAACAATCCCCTCATGCAACTCTAGGATAGGAATAGACAGTACAACTCCAGTGGAACTTAGCAGGTGCAGATAACACAGAAAGATATATCCTGTCCAGCAGATGCAGCACTATGGGTTATCACGGATGGAACAGCGGCACAGACAGTATCACATTTAAGCAAGCACAAGTGCATGTAGCAGTGTCAGAGGCACTTGGATCAGAGACCCAGGATACTTGCGGTTTGTAGTTTGGCAGAGCTTAGCTCACAGCGGGGAAGCACTATGGAGTCGTCTGCTACTGCTGGGACAGTACTGGTGATCCGGAGGGTCTCAGAGGGGAATGCCTGTAGGTTCTCTGTTCGTCACTCGACACTCCACAACGAGAGAACGCCGAGTGACGAACCAGCTGACCTTTTACCTGCGGCGCCGCGCCCTGTGGGCGGAGCCAGCGTGACGTCACCGACGAGACGGCACGTCGCTGGAGCGCAGGGACACGCCGGGTAAGTCTGTGACAGTGCTATAGCTATTGTTCAGCTGCAATATAGTCTGCAGAAGGGTCACAGGGGATGCAGCACCAGGATGTGATGTCCAGTTGGAGTGCCTGGATAATAACTATTCTGATTCAAGTTGAATTATGCTTTGACATGCCTCCTTTGGACCTCAATCCTTCTGTACAGTATGGTCACAAGCTAATTCTTTTTTTTGCACCCATGTTATACTCCACATTTTAGGCCTGAAAATTACTTAAAACCCCCAAACATATATTTTCTGAAAGCCAAGATCCTATAGAATAAAATGGTGGCATTTGCAAATTTTTATGTTGCACAATATTAGCGCAACACCTTATCAAACCCCACAATTTAGTGGAAAATGCACTTAAATTCCCCAAAACACAATAAAATACCCATTTTTTTAATAAAATATAAAAGAAGAGGTTACAAAGAGTAAATAGATAGCCAACATGCCCAGGTTAAAAATTGCGTGCATCCGTGAGAAGGCAACAAAATTCAGTACCCAAAAAAGTCCATAGACGACGCTTTAGAAGCCCCCACAAGTAATCAGTTTAGAGATACCCAAAAATACTGGCCCTAGAATTATTGCTCTCACTCTGGCGTGTGCGGCAATACCCAGCATATGTAGCGCATTCATCGTTTTCATATGTAGGCACACCCGACACGTGTTTACGTGAAGACAGGCGTGCTCGTGGGGGCGGGGACTTTATAAAATTGTGTAAAATAATTTTTATGTTAATTTTAAAAACTGTTGTTTTTTTTACTTTCATTGTTATCACATAGGGGGCTTACAAGGCTCCAATGTGATAGCAGATGGTGGTTTCACCCGCCCGTAGAAGCGATCTGGTGGCAGCTGAGCCACCAGAATCACTTCTACTGTAAAGCTGACAGTCGGCTTTACAAGTTTAAACAGAGTCTGTTAAAACAGCCCCGATGCCAGCGACGTACACTGTACGCCGCTTGTCGTGAATGGGTTAAATCCAATATAGTTTTAATTTAAGTACATACAGAGGATGTTCATGGTTCATATGAAGTGTAAAAAGACAAAAGATCTTCTAAACCAAGTGTCTGCAATGAGGGCTAGAAGATACAATGTGGGAAAGTAAAATAAGCAGGGAGGGTCTATCTAAGTATATACTAACTGAGACTAAACAGGAGGGGAGGACACTGGGAAATACCAAATGTATACAGAAAAATAAGTTGCAGTAGCTATAATCTGTGTCAGGAATACACCATAACATAAAAATATGCAATGCATACATATGCAATGTAATGGAAACAACAACAAAAAACATTGGCTGCACAGAATTACAAATTCTTTGGCAATTAAAACAGTCCATTTATGGTGGATGGGCCTTAATGCATAGTTGCTGCATATATATATATATATAGCTGTGTTGTTCTGTTACATGCTCAATAGGCACCCCCAGAATTTTGACCGAGTTTTGACCAACAGCTTACTGTTAACTTTCTACAATTGGGAGCCAGTAGTATAGACTCCCAATTACGTCATTACTGAGCAGTCAATTACAGTGAGCAAATGAACAGGAGTCCTTTTCACCAGCCTCCAATATCACGGCTCATATAAAGGGTAATATACCAACATTTCAGAATATAAAGGTATATATAAATATTTTCCTATCCTATTTTGAAAGATCAAAATTGCCTGAATGGAGTATCTATGCTTTTAAGCATTTAATGTAAAACCACGTAAGTCATTTATGCAGAGGACTACATTGCAGTAAAATGCTGTTTAATGCTGTATTTTCCACTCTTTTTGCTGAAGCATGGAGCAACAGTTCATCTCACACATTATTTGTAAACCAGTACAGATGTCTGAGTATAAACCATGAAATACAATTAAAGGTTTACACGAGCTTAAAAAAAACGTGATCTGCTAAACACTCCATAAAACAAACTCCTAAATCTTTTTGCTATTTTATACATTGTCACCCCCTATCTTCTCTCGTCAATTTATTTTTTCAAAGGCATTTCAATTCTCCCTTTTGGCTGATTGTTAGCAGTTCAGCATTTTGCTATCACAGCTGTTCATGTTAACACCCGGCCTATAAATCTGTCTCTCAGCACAGTACTTTGGTTTTCGATATGGATTTAAAAGGCAAGATTTTCAACCGCACTAAAATAGATGCCAATGTGGAGGAGGATTGTGACAAAATAAGAAGCAATTAAGCAAAAAGATTGAACTGAAAAATATTTTCATTACACAGTTTTGGCAAGGAGTCTACGTGGCAATAAGGCAACAGTTTTTGTAAATAAAGTTATGTATTTCTAAAAAGTCTCATTATTTTGGCTACATTTCAGTCTGTAAAGCTGGCACAATGCCTGAAATTATCAGTTTTAATTCTGGTTAAAGTCTAATTTTTCATCCTATTCATGGCAGCATAATATAGGTGGCTTGCTTACTCAGCAATATGATGCACTTCTACTAGAGTGCTATCACAAATTTGTTCAATCTTTAGTTCTTGCACTTAAAGTGATACTAAACTCAGGAGGTAAATCTTAAAAAATGCATACAAGTACCTTATTACTGTTACTATTATTAACAAAAATGTTAGTTATTTGTGTATCATTCAGTTGTAGATCCTTAAATAATGCCTGACTTCATGCTGACACTGTCCTTCCTTCTGGAGGTGTGGCTACTTTTGTTCCCCATGGTCCTTGTGCGTGTTGTAAAGTAGCCTCCACTCCAAGCTCACTCCCGTGATAGACTACAATCTCACGTTTAGTTTACTAATTTGTATTGAGATTGTAGTTCATCATGAGCTTGGAGTGGTGGCTTTTTTACTACACACAGGGACCATATGTAACAAAAGTAGACACTCTCCAGAAGGAAGGACAGTGTCAGCACCTATTTAGAGATGATTTGAGGATCTACAACTGAGTGATGCACAAAAAAATGAATTTTTGTTAATAGTTAAGGTACTTGAATGCATTTTTAAGATTTGAGCAAAAGAAAGGTAGGCATTGCCCTTGCTGTTGTAATTTTAATTTGTTGCCTACTCCTTTGAATAGTCCCAAAGTGCTCAACTTATTTGAAAATGTGAAGCTGAACTATCTTTGCGATACTTTTAGAAGTGCTCATGAGGACTTATAGGATATGCTGGATGCAAATACCATGCAGTTAAGAATGTGAAATGTCAGAAAATATGTTCAGTGATTCGCAAACATTAATGGAACAGAAGAAGAACACTTAAAAAAAGAAGCATAACCAAAATAAAACTTTGCAGTGAGCATGACATAGGTGTCCTTGCGCCAAAACTTTGTGTAAACACGTTCATGAATTCCCGCATCGCCTTTAACCATTTAATTATGACAGGTAGTCCAGCTCGTCTACTTTACAAGTGATAATAAAATCAGCCAGCATGGTACAGACAGGGTTTATTATGGCAAACAAAACTCCCCCAGGTCCCCTTAAACAGTGAGAACTAAGTTATGCTATGTTAATGAGAACATGTAACTAATATAAACTAGGTGTTAACCTAATTTGGCTGCAAAAGTGGAAATGCACTTTGAGCGCTCTTTGCATATGACAGCTACAAGGAGGTTTGATGGCAGGTGAGTCTGTCATCATTTACAGTGACGCTTTGAGCTGCTGATTAATAGCTGAGCCTGTCACAGATAGCTCTTCCTCAGCATAGTCTGCAAGTCCTGACATAGTAACAAGCAGGCAGGACAGAGATGCACAAGACTACTTCTTTTATTACACGTATTATGGTTGGTGTTTACGATTCCACTGCAGGAATCCAAGACAAGAGGGTAACATCTTGAAGTGTAACCAAAACAGGCAATATAGAGATTTGAAATAGATGAATGTGGTGTTTATAGCAAATCATACATTAAAATAGTAATGCACAAATCCCAGGGGACCCATAGCCAATGTTCCTTAAAATTACAGCTGCCTCCTAACTTTTGAGTTTTTCTCTAGTCTTGTCTTAGAGATGGAAAAATATCAGTACTTGTACTGTACTTGTACCAAGTACGGTACTTGGTATCTGAACATCCCTAGTGTACATGTCAGCTGTCCACCATTAGCACTTTTCATTAGTTCTCAGTTAAAAAAATGAATCACATGAAATAAAACCATTCACATCAATCTGCCCCTCATGGTTACAATTATTTCCTGCTTTGAAGCAACAGGATCAAAACTGCAATGGAAATGTTAGTTGGAAATAATTTCCATCCTCATTACTATTGTTGGTTGTTTTATATCACGAATCAAATAAACCTGCAGTTGTATTTTTAAATCCCATGTAAAAATTTTTTAGCATGGGCAGAATTAGACTGAAGGACCAGGAATGGAACAGTAATGCTATGATGAAAAACGTCCCCTTGCTTTTTAAAAAAAAATCCAAAAACAAGTGTCCTGAAAATAGAGATATTTCTAGTTGAAAAAATTATTACACTGTTCCTTCTATTTGTATGAAAAAATATTACAAATTTTCAGATGCACATGCCTCTTGCCATGAACATAATACATAGACATACTTTAAGATCACTTAAAACGATTCCTGCATGAGATGCATATCTGGCATGAATAAAATCACAATCCTTTATGAATTAATAGGGCCATGCACCTCTGTGGAAGTCCCATCAGGGAGGAAACATGTCAGGGCTACACATGGCTTGGTGTTTGTGTCCCTGCTTTGACATGCTGGGGGTAATGTACCAAGACATTGCTGGGCATCAGGCACTTTGAAGCCAGGCACA